GGCCAAGGCTACCTTGCATGTTGACCAGGAATCAATTCCACAATTCTGCAAGGCCAGTCCAGTGCCATTTGCCTCATGGGCAAAAGTAGAGGCAGAAATCAGGAGGCAGCAAAGTGGAAGAATCATCAAACCAGTCTAGTATGTGGAACAGGCAGCACCGGTCGTATCGACTGTGAAGCCCAACGGGTCGGTTCGACTTTGTGAGGATTTTAAATGGTAAACCGCTTCTCGCAGCTGGATAAATACCCGACTCCTTGCACAGAGGATTTACACGCAAAGCTGGCGGGGGAGGCTGTCCTTCACAAAGCTGGACATGAGCCATGTGTACTTGTAATTGTGGTGAGATCAGCATTCCCAGAAGTATGTTACAATTAATTACCTATAAACGAGACTGCCATTTGGGGTATCGTCAACCTGTACAATTTTTCAATGGACAATGGAGAAGATTTTACAAGGTCTACCCTAGGTTGCCATTTATCTAGATGATGTGCTAATAACAGGGAAGACCAATAAGGAGCAGATAGAGAACTTGGACACAGACCCTACATGGAAATGCCTTTGAAGGAAAAAGTGTATGTTCCAGGTACCCTACGTGACCTACTTGGGCTACAGAGTTAACAAGACCAGGTTATACCCATTGGAAGATAAAGTGAGGGCGACGAAAGGTGTTCCAACTCCCATGTCTGTACCGGAGCTTAGGGCTTTTCTTAGGCTGGTGAACTATTATGGAAAGTTCATGTGTAACCTCCATCCGAGCACCTTTGCATTAAGTCTTAAGAAAGGGTCATCTTGGAAATGGTCACGTAGCCAATCGATAGCCTTCAGGGAAGTGAAGAAACAGCTATCATCCTCTAAGGTGTTGGCACACTATGATCTCAAGCGAGATCGGTATTGACATGCGATGCCTCCTTGTACAGCATTAGGGTAATATGAGCTCATAGGTGGCCCAAAAGCATATGCATCCAGGTTAATGCAGAGCATACATACGCCCAGATAGAGATGGAAGGTTTGGCGGTCATATTTGTAGTCAGGCAGTTCCACCAATACATTTACGGACGTAAATTTGTAATAATAATGGACCACAAACCCCTAATAGGTCTACTTAAAGAAAACAAGACAGTGCCGTCCATAGCTTCAGGCTGAATTCAGTGGTTGGCTCCAGTACTAAGAAAATATACTTAGAAGTTGGAACACTGTCTGGGATGCCAATTATCAAATGCGAATGCTTTGAGCCGCCTCCTGCTGGCAGATACACCACTGGAACAGTCTGTGATGGTTTTAAATTTTCTGCACACACTTCCAGTCACAGTTGACAATATCGTACTTTGGACGCAGCAAGATCTGGTCCTGGCAAAACTAAAACAGCTGGTGGTGATGGAGAAAACAAAACGGCTGTAACAACCAGAACTGAAACCTTTCCGGATCCAGAGAGACCAGATCACAGTAGAGGATGGTATGTTATTATGGGGAGCGAGAGTGATTGTCCTAAGCAAAGGTCACCACCAGGTACTGGCTGAACTCCACCAGGGTCATCCAGGGGTTTCCAAAATGAAGATGTTGGTGAGATGTTATGTCTGGTGGCCAGGACTGAATGCAGACATAGCTGCATTGGTGGGACAGTGCCCAGAGTACCAGCAAGGACAAACATTACTACCAGCAGCTCTCCCACATGGGAATGGCCAGGTAAACCCTGGACTTGGTTACACATTGAGTATGCAGGTGCTTTCATGGCCTCGATGTTCTAAGTCATTGTGAATGCTCACTCAAAATGGCTGGATATGCATATAGCTCATTTGTCAAACACAGGGACGTCTATGGAAAACTGCCTTATCTTTTGCAATACATGGATTCCCGGAGGTGTTGGTTACAGATAACGGGCCATTGTTTACCAGCAAGGAATGTGAGTATTTCCAAAAGTTGAATGGTATTCGTCATGTAAGGACAGCTCCATACCACCCATCATCCAAAGAGCTGGAAGAAACAACAGTCCAAACTTTGAAGGCAGGCTTAAAGAAACAGCCTACAGCTTCACTAGATACCTAACTGTCCCAGTTCCTATTTGATCATAGGACGACCCCTCATGCAACTACAGGGATAGCTCCAGCAGAGTTACTATTGGGGAGAGCAATCTGCACCAGGTTAAATCTGATCTTCCCGTACCACAGGGACGGTGGTGAATTGGCATTAGCAATGCCAGACAAAAGACTCCATTAAGCGAGAGAGACAGTTTACTTCAAGGGATGAAGATTCGTGCCAAAACCATGGAAATGGTCCTGTATAGGTAAGAGGCATAGTTGATGTGAGGTCAGGTCCAGTGACATATAAAGTTCAGGTAGGTGCGATGGTCCTGAACAAAGTATATGGACCACATAAAAGCTGCAAACATGCAAATGGCGCGGGAGCAAAATGTGCCTCCCTCCTTGACTGCATTTCCGACTGTTGCGGAACCCGTGGTTCTCCTCCTCCGTCAAGCGTTGAGAATACATCAGAATCTGAAATGGACACAGCGCATGTCGCCACCTCAATGCCTTTGCCACCTGAAGAGGAGAATGAATTTCTTTCAAGATGCTTTGGGTGTAAGAGGCGAGCTACTGTGCATCAGACACCGCCCATATCAGAGGCAGACTCAGAGGAAACTGACCCGGTGCTAAAATGTGCCAGGAAGAGCTATGGTCTATGTCTTAAGCTCAGTGTGGGAGGGAATGTACTGATTGTAACTAGGTCAGCCAAGTGGACTTCATAGATCAGTTCCCTGATTGGGGCTGTTAACCTGGTCCAATCAGGGAGCCCTGGCTGACAAATTTAAACAGGAGGGTCAGAGGTTCGATTCACTCTGAGAGCTGGCTCTGACGGAGATGGATCAGTGTCATGGATTCTCCACGTGTAAATAAAGGGTGACTTGGTGATGGGATACTGGCCTCTGTGGAGTTATTTCATACCCCAAGAATTCCAAGATCCTGTGACAACATGTGCTTTTGTGATGTACCATGGAAAATAATGGGTGAAGCTTCAATGGTCCTTACTGTTAAATGGTTGACCATAAATCTCTCCTGCTGTGAACACTTCGGAGTCAGAGGACAATTACAGTACAGAATGAGGCCATTCGGGCCATTGCATCTACACCTGCTGGCTGAATAAGCATTATGGCTTTGTGCCATTTGCCTGCCTTTTCCTTTGCAAACTGAATGATTATATCAATGGAAACAATGTCCTCTTGATAGCATCAATTGAACCGGCCTCCACCACATTTTTAGGCAATGCATTCCATAACCTAACTAGTCATTGAGTGAAAAAGTTCTTGCTTTTGTTTTGTAAGTCTATGCTCTCACATTTTTAGTCTTTTAACAAAGAGGAACTGTTTCTCTCTATCTATTGTATTCAGATCCCTCACGATTTTGAAGTCTTGTTAGCCTCCTGTGTTCAAGAGAAATAGTGACAGCTTCTCCAATCTATCCTCACAACTGTAATGGCTAACTTCTGGAATCCTTTTTTATATATCGCTCCTGCAGTCTCTCCAATACATTTCCATCTTTCCCATAATGTAGTGCCCAAAACTGTACACGATACCCCAGCTGAGGTCTGTAAGAAGTGTCTTATACAATTTCAGCTTCTCCTCTTTGCTCCTATTTGCCTATTAATAAATCCCAGGACGCTGTAGGTTTTATTACTTACTCTCTCCACCTTTCCAATCAGCTTCAATGATCTGAGGACAAAAACACCCAGGTCCTTCTGCTCCTGTACAATTGTAGCCCTATTGTTTGTATATGATCTTCCCACCAAGATGCATCATCTCACTCTACTCCGCATTGAATTCTGTCATCCACCTATCTGCCCACTCCACCAACTTATCTCTGTTCTTTTTAAGTTCTGCAATGTCCACTGAACAATAAATTTCTTCACATACACGGAGCAGATGAACGATCTCTCCTCAGTACGAATTCAAAGGTGTACATCAAATCCTTGTTATCCACGGCAGATAAGGCACAGAATTCCTACAGATAACAATGTTCTTATGTCCCACACATGTGATCAGACCGGACGAACCCATGTGGGAAAACAAGATGGGTCTGGGACCAACCTTGCAAGTAAAAAGATCAGTGGATAGCAAATCGCATATAGTGAAGAGTATGTAGTGAGCCTGGAAGGATTTACAAGTTGATACCCATTCTGTGTGCCTGTTATCAATGTACCTCCCTCCACCAAGTCATGAAGTGGAGTCAAACCCAGAGATTTTGGTTCAGTGGTAAGACAATGACCCACTGCATAACAAAGTACACGTCAGGAGTGTGATGGAATACTCCCCACCTCCCTGGATGAGCGCAGCTCCAATAACACTCATGAAGTTAAACACCTTCTAGGACAAAACAAGCCATTTGGTTTGCTCCATATCCACAACTTTCATTCTCTCCACTTCTGATGCTCAGTGGCAACAGTGTGTACTATCTACAAGATGGGCTACTGAAAATCACCGAATCTTGTTCAACAGCACCTTCTAAACACATAACTACTGCCATCTAAAAGGGCAAGGGCAGCAGATACATGGGAACACCACCTCTTGCAAGTTCCCCTCCGAGCCACTCATGATGCTGACTTGGAAATATATTGTTGTTCCTTCACTGTCACTGGGTCAAAATCCTGGAATTCCCTCCCAAACAGCACTGTGGGTCAACCTACAGCACATGGACTGCAGCGGTTCAAGAAGGCGGCTCACCGCCACCTTCTCAAGGGGCAACTAGGGAGGGACAATAAATGCTAACCCAGCCAATGACACCCATACCCTGTGTCCAAATAAAACAAAAAGAAGACTTCCACATGTTTGAAATAATACTGGCTTGAAAAAAAGGAAAATAATTTGGGGCAAATTTTAAAATGCAAATCTGCAGCACACCAAGTGTAAAGTATTGGCTTATGTTATACCAACTTCCCCAACCTGACTCGCTCGATACAGACTAACACTCCCAAGAAGTGACAAAGTTTGAAGATGAAGGAACAGTTCCTACCTGTGGTTGGGTCAGGGGGTCCGAACTCCAGTGAGTACCTCAGCACGAAATGGTTGTTCCAGACATAGAGCTGGTTGTCCCGGGGGTTGTAGTCCACAGATGAGACATACTGGTAGGGGTTGGGGAAGGCGATGGAGACCGGCTCCTCCCGGTTGAGGTTGGTGTTGAAGGCAAAATCGATGGTATTACCGATGACCTCGCTGTCGTCTTCCTTGGACACCGAGCGCACGGCGTAGAGTACGCCGCAGACCATGAAGGCGTTGGAGGCTGACCGCTTATCGTACACCGTCTCCCAGGTGCCCTCGAAGCGCAGCGTGTAGGGGTTGAGTTGGCTCACTACCAGCTTGCCATTGTTCTGCTCAGTAGCATAGATGGCCCACAGCCCGTTCTCGTCAACAGCCAGGTCAATGTCAGTCTTGCCCCCCCAGCGATAGGGTGAAGTGTCGTGGTAATTGGCGCCACCGATAATGGCCTCGCCGCTCTTGATGCGGGTCCGCAGGTCGAACTTGACCACGTTCCGTGTCCTTTCCTTGTTATAGAAGACGGCACCGTCATACACCACAAAGCCTGTGCCGTCCACTCGGTGCGGCAGGCGGTACGAGGTGGTGGGCCGTCCAGCCGTGTAGTCCCCCCACGAACCGTATTCGGTCAGTGTGTCGGTGCGGTATGGGATCCACGGCATGTAGTAAATACGGTCACCGGCCTGAAGAGGATCCTTGCACCAGGCCCCTGCCTCATGCTCTGACTCAAACACATTGGTTGGCTCGAAGACTTTCCGCAATGTCCCGGGGCAGACGAATACTACGGAGCAAGTAGGATAGAGACGCAAACTGATCACTTTTATTCCTAATAATGCACATAATCACACAAACAAAAATGTGTCACATCATATCAAACAGTCGGGCATGATTCGGTACTTGATTCATGGACAGACCCAGTCTGCTATGAACTAATGCTTGCAATCCAGTCATGTGCTGGTATTCTGACCATCGTTCACTCACAAGAGTTCGCGAAATAGATCCATCGCTTTCACTGCCTGGCCGTCAGCCCATAGTGCTTCTGTGTCTCAGCAAGCTCAGTGCCAGCCCGGGATCTAAGCCCAGCCATTCAGAATCAACCTGTTGATTGGCACCATGTCCCAGGCCAAAGCTCCACCCTTCCCACCCCTAGAGACTCCAGCAGGTAATAAACACACTGAGGGCTTTTGGTGATAACTGCAGGGAATGGTGCAAAATGGGGGCAACTGAGGAGGTCACCTGCCGGGTTTCTTAACCAGTTAACATTGTCACATCAGTTGACCCACCTTGCTGTTAAAAACTGATGGTAGGGAAATATTGTATCTTTCATGGTGGTTAGTTCAACATCAATCATCTTAGACCACAGCCTGAGGTGCGTTGCCCCCTGGCACGTGATAGTGCCAGGATACAGGGGCCAGGAGGAACAATGGTTGGATGCCCACTTTATCTTGAGTTTCCTGATAACTGCTAAGAGTTCTGTTTAAAGCAAAAATACTACAGATACTGGAAATCTGAAACAGACACAGAGAATGCTGGAGAAACTCAGCCTGTCTGGCAGCATCTGTGGAGAAAGAGAAACCATGTTAACTTTTCGAGTCCTGTAACCCTTCTTCGGTTGAGGAAAAGTCATACTGGACTCAAAACGTTGAATTGACTTAGGTACTCCAACTGGCTTCAGTGTCCTGGATTAATAGGGAGACAAGATCAACTGAAAGGTTTCCAATCTGGATTGGCCTCTGGTAATTCCAGATCAAGTACATAATTGTGGGGATGATGAAACTGCAAGGGGGCAGTGTTATGAGACAGCAAAGGGGGTCAACCATTTAATGGTGTTCCAGCAATCTCCCTCCCAGCTTCAACTTTTGGAACAACCATTTCAATTCTGACACCTACACACAACTGTAACCCCCAGTGGCACGAAAAACATTAGCTTAGTTAATGGAACTTGTTGAGGGTGGATGAACATATTCCCAAGTTTATAGGGTGTGAGTGTGACTGAGTGATGGTGACACAGACAACAGGATGGGCTGAAGGAGAGATTTTGTGATGTGGTAACACAGGCAGATTAACAAGAAAACGTGAATAAACTTGTAAAATGGATGTACAATTTGCAAATTAATTTTAATGTAGAAATGCTTGCTGTATGAGATTAGGTTGGACGATAAAAGGGGGTCATAAATTCCTTGGAAAAAAGAAGTCGAAGTGGTGAAATGGAGTCAAGGGATCTGGAGCTACAGATACACAAACTACTAAAAATATCGACACAAATTAACAGCACCATGAGTAAACAAACCAAGCATTGGGGCTCATTTGTCAATCAAATTGGAAAAAGAAAGGATATGTTAAATTTTGCTGACAAGACAGACATGTCGGCAAAGTTTTCCATCTCGCATTCACAGGTCCAAATGCAACAATGTCAAATTTAAAACGATCACAACAATTTATATTGCAGGATAAAAGGGGGTGACGATTGGATGGCACGTTGGTGCTGCTGATATGATCACCATGGTAAAGCTTCACCAATCAGAGTTGACCTGCCAACCAATTGGCACAACTCCCCACCACCCCCCCACCCGCCTCTCTTTCTCCTGTGGTAGAAATTATTGCTATCATTTGATATTTGACATGGATAACAATGGCCTATTGGTATTATCACCAGACTGTTCACCCAGAGACCCAGGTAACGTTCTGGAGATCTGGATTCTAGTCCGACCATGGCGTATAGTGGAATTTGAATTCCATAAAAAATCTGGTATTACGGATCTAATGATGACCCATGAAACCATTGTTGGTTTAAAAGGAAACATCCCACTCTTTATGGAAGGAAATCTGCTGTCCTTACCTGGTCAGGCCTATATGTGACTCCTGACCCACAGCAATGGGGATGACTCATAACTGCCCTCTGGGCAATAAATGCTGGCCTAGCCAGCAATGCCTACATTCCATGAGCGAATACAGAAGTTCATACATCTGTCCTATGAGTGTAGGATGCAAAATTTCAGCCAACGTGCCTCTCTTTTGTGCGATATTTAAGATGTGTTAAGCTCAGTCAGAACACACTGGTGATTACCACATTATAAAAGACTGAAGAGAAAGACTGACTGGAATAATACCAAAGCTGAGGGATTTTAACTATCAGGTTTGTTTGTGGAATTGTGGATAGAAGGGCTGACCTGATTATGGTCTTTAAGTAGGGGAGAGACCAGGTGGTGGAAAAAAAACATTTCCACAAGTCAGCAAGCCAGAGGTGAGGTGGTGCGACAATAAATACAACAAAGACAGTGATAAATCCAATCAGGAGCTCTGCAGAAAGCTTTTTGATTACTGGTTATTAAATGAAATGTGTTCATAGGTGATTGTTGAGATCACTAACATCAATGCACATAAGAAAAGTTAAAGGTACACTTGACGGGGAATGGGAAAGAGGAAATTGTCAGCAGGGTGAGGCAAAATAGGGCAGGAGGATGATAGACTGGAGCTTAAGGACCAGCATAGAGTTGTTGGGCAGAATGACTTGCTTCTGAAGTATTTTAATACTCCCAAACAAGAAGAGAAAGACACAAAATGTCAGAGAATATCTGATGATATCGTTGTGTCTTGAAATGAAATGTCAAATAACTCTCATTAACATCAATGCCACAGAAAGGCAGTAGTGTGCAGTTTACTAAACAAATTACAAGCTACACCTTTTACATTCAATCATCTAAATTCCAACGATGATCTTTGCCTGCCAGGCAGGTATGAAGGGTACCCAGGTTGTGTAATTTTGATAATGGCAAGTCAGTGCAAAAGTAAACAACCACAGAGTGATGGTCAGGCAGTGAGGGTCCAAGAGTGAGAGTCCGTGGGAGTGAGGATCAGTGTGAGGGAGTAAGGATCAGTGTCAGTGAGGGTCAGTGTGAGTGAGTGAGGATCAGTGTGA